TGAGAGTCATTGGTTTATTTTAACAAATTTTAAAAAATTTACTGGAGGCAGAGTGACTCTCGCGCCTCGCTACCCCTCAGCAGACAGAGTGGCACCTCTTTCAGGACCCTTTTCTATCACTGAGTAGTTGCAGAGACAGAATAATCTCCCAGCAGGAACCCTAATTATTCCTCCCCACCAGGGCTCAGGTGGAATTACCTCCAGTCCTACAGAAGGCAGAGTACATAGGTGTCCTAACAAAGAAAAGAGACCAAAAATCAAACTGCCACCCTCCAGGACAGAATGTGCCCTGAGGGATGACAAGAAAAGCACAACAAAGGTGATGAGGGGGCTGGCTGTTACATGGTCCTGGAAATAAAATGGTAAAGACAAACATGAGAAAGTGTTCCATCTTGGTAGTGGGCAATCGGATAAACCCTTCATTTTTTAAGCATACTCATGCCACAGTTCTCATACTGCAGTCCTTGAGTCAGGGACTACCTACCAGTTAATTTCCTTACAGGGGAGTTTTCCCACCGTGCCAAGAATCTACACAGTCTGTATTAGTGCTGCCCCAATGCTGATCACGAGGAGGAGGTTGCTGATCACAATTGCCATACAGGGGCAAGTGTTATTTCACTGCTCTCATGGAACTGTTGCTCTGAGGAGAATATACTGTCATGATCTAGTCCTGACATCCAGGAAAATCCCTAAAATGATGCCCTGGGATTAACCAGTGCAATGTCAGAGAAAGCTGTGACGAGAAGGTAAAATTCAAAATCAAGGTATAAATAGTCCCTTCAATATATAGGGCCAAATTACAGCACTCTAACTGGCATGTCCTGCTAACATCCTCTACCTTCCTGACGGACAACACGGAGCCACCTTCAGAACAAGGTATGGCTCAGTTTCAGTAGGATTTTCTGGAGTCCTAAGGAAATACCAGCACAGGAGCTCAGCAGCAGCACCAATTTCAAAGTCTGTGTGTAGACGGAGTCATTTTTAAGTATCATGATTACACTAATTAGGTTCTGCTTAGGTTTTAATTTGCATTTTAAGGATTTGATTATCCACCAGTAAAAAAAGAGACTGATTCTCTCATGTATTTTATGACAGTTTGTGACACAATCTGCACTCTTGTGTTTACAAATAAATAAAAATAACATATGTAAATTAAATTATGTTTCATTCTGTACCATTGCTATCAACAGCAGGTAACTAACAATGCTGATTTATATTACTAATAATAACATTCTTATAATAACATTCTTACAAAATTTATTTCATAAATCCCTGCTCTACTATTTCAAACTCTAACTGCGACCAAGAGACATAATCCATTTTTAATTGCGATTCAATTACCCCTTTTTTCATTAAATTAAGTTTAAGCTGCAAGAATATGACTACTGTGCATTCAAACAGGGATACCTAGAATTAAAAAAAAAAACAAACATGTCCCCCAGGAGTTTCTGAATAACAGGAGGGTTTGCCCATAGGCTTTTTGTATCATAATATGTTGCCATGTATATAATTCTATTAAAATTAATATATAATAGTATTTGTCCTATAAATTAGATAATATAAATTAAAACATTGTTAGAAGAATATGTAAATTTGCCTTTTGTCTACTCACTCTGTTTTTGGAACTTCTTTTCTAAGCCAGTAGAAATCTGATTGGGCTAAGTATTTGCGAGTTTGCAATACATTGCCAAAATAGTCACTTTCTGTAAACTTCAGCTGTATGGATAAAGCACAGACATTTTAAAAGCATGTCCAAAGAAACAAAAGCTGTCATAAAAAGCATAACTTCTATTTTTTACAAGATAATCACCTAATTTTTCAGCAATTATGGAAGCAATTAGAATTTTCACATTTTGGTAGGAAGAATAAATGTTTTATGATCTTAGTTAAAACACAGAAGTGGAACAGATGTACACAAGGGTCTGGAACGCTGGAAAGGCTCTTTCCTGTGCAGAGAGGTGTTGAAGAAATCATAAGCACCCAACAATGGATTGCAGATGGAACTTCTCTTTTCCAGGAGGAAGTAGGCTTACTTTTATTTTTAAAAGTGCATTTTAAAACCACTTCTAACAATGTCACAAAGTCCCCTTTCTCAGTTTGCTTTACATTTTATAACAAATACTTCATACTCTGTGCCCTCTGAGGGTTCTGCCACTGCTTTCTTACTGTTTCTCACATTAAATACATACAGCCATAGGGCTCTGTGCTTCCATAAATTTCCAAATCCAATAGCAATTACACATACACATACAAATAACCATGCAGGCAAAAGGATGTTAATAGTTCATAAATCCAGATGATATCCCTGTCATCAACTTAAAGCAATCCTAGGATTTGAGAGGAAGTTGTATTTCAGATGTAAACTATGGTTTTGCAACCACGATTAATAAGTATTTTTCACCAGACATTGCCATTTATCTGGGGAAATGCTTTGTCTCATTACACTGTCTTCACAGCACCATCTCACCCTATACTTCCCACAAACAAGGACTAGGCTGGTAAAGTTGGTTCTTCAAAGTTTTCTCAATAAATTAGGTCTCTGTTTAGTGTTTGTTCATGTGTTCTGGCAAAGATGACCATGTCTCTTTATTTTACTGGCTCAGGATTGAATTTAGGGTTCTACTTTGCCTGTGACTTTCAGTAATACAATTCATCACATGCGTGCCACAGTCGGAAAATGGTAACATATATTGTTATTGTTGTCACTGATGATGATGATGATGATAACAACAACAACAATAATAATAATAATAATTTGTCTTCCTGCCTTAGTTAGGCTGAACAGGTCAGGAAGGAGTCCTCCCATAGTGTCTTTGCCCAGCAGCCAGCACAATAGGCCCATACATTGATTAGGACATCTTGACAAAATTATAAGCAACAATCATAAATAAAATTCATAGCCTGGAGAGCCTATATAGGGCATCATAAAGTGTGATATTCTGAGGTAAAATGCTTGTTGTGTTTTTGAAGACCATTATTTTGAGAAGAAATGCTTTTGGTTTGTTTCATTTTTATAACTAAATACCAATTACAGTGTATGTTTAACCTTTAAAATGCTTTTTATCAGGAAGGTTCTTTGCACCCAGGTGCATTTTACTCCCCACAAGCCTCACGATCTCATTTAGGCATGCCAGCATTGACAATTTAGACATGAGAGCTAGCACACTTAATTAAAAAATAACATAAAAATAACCAGGCAAGCAAAACTCCAGGTACATGCCAAACAAAAGACAAGCTTTGATTTTAGACAGCAGTGAAACAGAGCAAAGAATAGCTGCAATATGTAAATGAAGAAAGCTGCAAGTCTGACACTTACTGTTTTGATGTCTTCATTAATATATGTGTCATTCATTATAAACTCAGGGTAACCAACTTTCGCCATAACTGCTTTTGCCTTTGAAAAAGAAAATGAGAAAAAAAGTGTTGACAGATAGAACCACTTATCAACATACAGGTTTTTTTTCCCCTGCTCTCTTTCCATTTTGCGATATTATACTTCCCTAGAGGCATCTTAATTTAACTTCAAATCAACTTGCCTACAAGGTAAAATTGGTGCCACAAATGAGCTCGGCATCACAAGGCAGAGGGTCCAGATTCTGTTGTTAGATTATCACAGTGGGTCTGTTGTTGCCTGCAGAGCTTTTGCGTAGTTACAGCTATGTGTTTGAGTGCAAAATCTCAACAGCTGACTTTCCCTACCAGTTTTTGTGTTAATCAGATGGTCAAATGTCTGTTTTTACAATGTTTTCCAAAGGACAACAGAAAACGGTCTGTTTTGCTATGGCACAGTAGTTGGTACACATTCAACGCTTAAAACAGATTTGATACACAGATGTGAATGAACCTTGGTCCCAGCAAATGCAGACTGGTGTATTTCTACTGAGGGCCACTTCTATTTGCATCTGAAGATGGGCACACACTCTTCTGAAGGACATTGTGCTTTCCTAAAACTACAGGACTAATTTTTGTTTCGTTCTCCAGTTTTTGCCCTTTCCCTAATGTTAGTAAGGGTGTTAAAATAAGACACTTCACTTTTCATTAACTTTGCTTTTTTTAACTCTTTTAATCATGACCTGGTCCCAGTATTTATGCATAGCCTGTGTAAACACTCCAGTGTGAAGTGATAGTAGCTGTAGATGAGTATTACCACTTTGTAAATCATGGTGTGAATGTATAAACAGCCTGAGCATTCTTCTCACAAAAACACCAGCAGGCCACCCTTACACCCAGAATCTCTGTGGAAACAGAATTTTCCAGAAGAAAAGCAAAAGGATACAAAAAGATAAGACTACATACCAAGATGTGAAATGTGACAATCTGTAAAATAAATTAAAGCTGTGATGGACTAGGGTAGCACTAAGCTTTCATTTTGTATGTTTTCAGGATGCTGAGTGTATTTTCCCCATAAGTCTTTGGAATTTCCTCCACCCCTCAAAAAGCACTCTTTTGGACATTTGTTCTTCAAACTCAGATGTCAAAACTCAAATGAATATTGCAAGATATGAAATGCAATACATTAATTGGCCTCTAAACCAACTGCAGATGTACCAACCCTGCATTCTGTTCTCATGAGCACAGCCTGGACCCCTCTGGGGTCCACCAACTTCCATTTCCCTCTTCAGAGGGTGACTACTCAAAGGAAGATTCCCCTTCCTGCACAATTATATCCTTTCTCCCTTCTGCCCCTCCATAGTATCTCAATACAACAGGGCCTCCTATGACAGCCAGAATTAGAAATGGCTGTTCCACTACTGTAAGAAGGAACCTGATGGAGGACTCCCCCCATTTAACCAAAATAATTCTGTCTCCTCTTTTATTTTTCAAGAAGAAAGGCCACTTTGCTTCAAACTCCTTCAATTTCTCAATCTCATTTCCAATCCGAAGTCATAATCCTCCATTTGTGACATAACAATTAATTGTGGTTGAGATAATTAAGATGTCACAAACAGACGATAACAACTTCAGGTAGGAAATTAGCAGCAGGAGCAGATGATCTCTTAAGCAAGAAAGATCCCATTGTCATGCAAATTGCTCTAGTGATAAAGCAATGGAAGAAAAATGCTGAATGGGAAATATGAAATGAGCCAAATAACCTCTCAACAGAATGTTTTCTCAGTTTTCCAGAAGGTTTATCAGTCTTTCAAGATATTTTAAATGCTGTGGGGAGGAGAGAGAATAAAAAGCTGGGGAGGAAGCACTATTCATCTGCAAGTTTGTAGGTAATCAGGAGTGTCTAATTTTTTTCCTAGTGGTGGTGTCGGGTCCAACTGACTGAACTTTGCAAGGAACCACAAAATTTTCTTTACCATTTCCCACGTTTAAATTCCAGTTAAAACTATCCTTGAAAAAGGAAAGAGCAAAACTCATAAATTTTAATTTCTGCTAAGTCAGCTGCTTAAATGAGTTTGGTGAATCTCATGTTCTGCATGAGTTCCAGAGTACCTGTCTGAATCACAGTAACCTTTGTGTTGAATCTACTTAATTGAACACCTTAAGATTTGAATTAAACGGATTTAATTTAAAAATTGACAAATATGATGAAGAATAAACCCTTTAAAAACAATTTATAGTGCAACATTTAAAAAATCAACAGTGGTTTTAAATCAAATGTAAAGATTAACTGTGTCAGCATTTTACTAATGATTTAGTCAGTACAATGTCGATCAAAAATTTTTGATCCTGTTTTGGCATATAAAAGAACATCTTTTGTTTAGAGCTAGATTACATCCTTTAAAAGCACTCTTAATTTGTATACTGTCTTCCAAATAGAAGCAAATAAATTCATGCCTCACTGGCTGTAAATGCAAAGGAGTATAAAGCCAGCCTAGATCTGGCAGTGCTTCTTTGCTGAGAGATGGGCTCTGCCCTTAAACACATGGTGCTAATTGTCTGGTTGTTACCAAAGTAATGTCCATCTCCACCACATGGACATTTTGGGATCTTTGTGGAATATCTGCCACATCCTTCTCACTCTCTTCTTCCACAGCAGCCCCCTGAGGGCAGCAGCTTGGGACTGCCAAGTTTTGGCCCTTTTAGACCTCACTCTTTAACCAAGCATCTCTAAGGGTGAAGATGATGCCTCCAGGCTCCTTAATAGCTGGTCTGACATAGGTTGAACTAAAGATCAAATATAATCACATAATCTCACAAGTAACCATATAATTAACTTTTTTAAAATTTTATTTTATTGACACTTACACCCTTTACTCTTTTCATAGCCCTGCTGCATTAGGAAAGGAAGATGGGAAGAGTTCTTCAGCCAGACTGCCTCAGGAGAGCTGGGCACACTTGTCAGGTGACACATACTTTTGCTTTGTGACATGAAATTGAGATTTCTAACACAAGAATAAAATAGTTGGGCACCACTATACTATGAGGTATTCTTTTATAAAGGCTATATAAACCCCTAGTAAATAACAGGGGTTATTTACTCCTGGAGAGAGTAAAGTAAACTCAAAAGGTAATGCTGCTTCCAGTACTTTGATGCTTTATCAATGTCTAAAGCTGCCTGTATTTTGTAGTATAGATAGATAGCTAAGGGGAAAACGTTATTTTATTGCATTTGTTACTTAAAAGTTCTTAGCACAATATGTGTGGTTTAGAGATCTGAGCAGATAAGACAAAGCTGATGCTGACAGTGAAGGATGTGTGGCTCTTGGTTGAGGAAAATGTTTCCTATGGCCAAAGCAAAACCTATGAGAGGACACAGGAGGCCCTCTGAAGTCCTTGATAATCCCTCCAATTGGGATTTCTCCTAGGAGCTTTGCATCAGGTGCAAACCTGCTCAGCTGAGCCCCACACACAGCCCAATTTATTTACACAACTGACAAGGTAGAAAGTATCATACTGGGAGCAGGTTTCTGAATTTGCGTGTTGGAAGCCTTGTTTCTGTGCCTATCTTCTCTGTTCAGTTGTGTAATATTTAACAGCAGTTTGAAGACTCCTTATTTATACAGCACAAGGAAGTGGAAATCTCTTCTACAATTGGCTTGCTCTTTGATAATGATGTCAGTATTTTCCCCTTGATAAGATTAAAAGTATGTTTAAGGGACCAGCATTCCCAGAGGCATCCATATGCATACAGGGAACTCAAATGAAATGTGACAAATGTACAGGAACCAGCCATGTGGCAATTGCACATGAATCCACCATAAACACACCATGCACAGTTTTATGGTTTAAAGGCTCATTTAATTCCTTTTTCTAATTTGCATATTAAATAGCCACGTGTACAGGAAGAAAAAGAGTGATGGGGTACTTCCCCCAGCTATTGTTAAGCGCTCAGCCTACCTTGGGCTGTTGAGTAAATTAAGAAAACTCATCACTGCAGTACTCTTCTGTCACTGACAGTAAGAGGCTCTCACAGGGGGTGACACAGAGAAGCAGCTCACTTTAGAGTAAGTCATGATAACTGTTTTCCAGCCCAGCACTCAGAGAGAGCAGGCTCTGAGGCAGAGGACCCAGAATGAGATTACTCCCTCCACCTCTCATTATGCATGGAAGTTTCCCCACTGACTTCAACAGAGTTGAGATTTTATCATCAGTGTGTCTTTCTGTCACAATGAGAGCACTGCTATTCAGTTTACTACTGAGACAATATAATAAAAGACCTTTCACTCTTGACTTAACAACTTGCCAATGTGGGAATGCACAGGTATTTCAATGCTCCAAAGCATCCTAGTTTCCATTCTATTCAAATTCTCACTTGACAACCAAGTGTGTGAGCCATCTGAAAGCCTTTTTTGCCACTCAGAGTATGATCTGGATATTTTATATGCTAGCAACACTAAGTACTGACATATTGTACTTACTGTAAAGAAAAAAAAAACCGCAACACATATCTCACCCCTGACAAAGTTTTATGAGTCTGACACAGATCTTCTGTATATCAACTTGACTCAAAATAACTTTGTGAAGATCATTTTCAAGCTTCTAAATATATAAAAAATTAATACAATTACAGTTCACTGAAAAATTAGCATGAAATACATTCTGAAAGCTAAAATCATTCACGGCAAAGTAATGTTCCATTTAATTACAAAGATTAATTCAGCCTTTATGTACGTGTCTGGTCATTTCATTTTTCATTGAAAACAGATAATTCAAGAGCCATCTGGTAAAACTGCTGCATAAATATCACTGCATCTAACTAGGTCTTACGTATAGAAAAACTAGGAAAATGGAGTTATGGATCTTGGCAAAACACAGAAAAGTTCCAACACAGGGCTAAAGCCCAGTCCTACAGATGTCAGTAAGAAGTGACCCACTGATTTGAGTGAGAGATAGACTGGGCTCACCTTAATGATGCATAGTATTTCCTTTGTGGGGCCACATGAAATCTCAGGGATTTGCACATTGTCAAATACAATCAAAAGTGAAGTGTCAATTCAAACATGAACACTTGGCCTGAAATGGCAATTTTTAACAGTACTTGATCTGCAGTGAACTGTCTGTAATCCATACTCCAGAATATAGATAATCATTAAACTATTTATTTTTAAACCTTGGCTTTAACTGTCCTCTTTTATTTGCATGTCACAATAATAAAATAATAGAAACTGAGTAGACTTTTCAGGAGCTAGTGTTTCATTTAATAATAATTCACATACCACCACCTCACACTGCACCATAACCATGCCCTATGTATTACAATAATTGTTTTGAATGCTCTAAAATAATTGATTATGAAGACAAAAAATACAGTTCTCATTCCATTCTTGTAATAGCTTGAGGCCAGGGGAAAAAAAATAAATCTAGTGACTTAAGTGAGTAATGACACCCATCACATACACATAAAATTGCTTTCAGTTAAATACACATTGTAGTTTCAAAACCAGATGAGTCTATTTAGCAGCTTTGTGCTGCCAAATGAAAAAATGCGCTAGTCCTCACTCTTTTTCCCTGTTCCTCTCATCTCTGTCCATACTTCTGCTCATGCTGCTTGCACCCACAGCCTCCAAAGGCTGACTCAGCTCCTTGCCACATCTTTCTGTGAGACTGCTTTCTGTGAAATTCACTGTCACAGCAGGAATCTAACCAAATATTTTCCCAGCCAATTTTCCACCAGATCAGTGAGCTGAATTACTCACTACTGCATGGAAAGACCCAGCAAGTGCTGGAATTGCACAAGAAATTTTCTGGGGACACACGATGTGGGAAAGAAGACTTACGTGATACACTAGTTACTTCCTCCTCTGAATCACGTTTTGAAACCAAAGCCTCACTCAGAGAAAACTTACTGACAAGAAAATACTATCTAATACACTTAAAATACCATACAATACATTATAATACTAGGAAACAGAGAGGAAAAGGGACACAGCAATTCCTAAACAAACTGTTCGCTGGGATTATATGTTCAGCCATAATAGCTACTATCTAGCAAGACAATATTACTATTACTAAGCATAAAGATACAAGCACTTAAAAGTTTAGTAGGACTACCATGGACAGAAGAGCCGGAAAAAACAACAATGTACCTCAGTGACACTCTTTCCTGTCCTAAATCCCTTTCACTTCTGGCTCTCTGGAATACAAAGACTCAGTCACTGGTTCGAGCACTGTGATGATAGTTTCACTGGAATTAACTTTTCAGTTTAAACTAATCCCACATTAAATTATCTTTTCTTTTTTTTTTTTTAGCAATAGAACTGGACCAAGTCACAGAAAGTGGGAAATTAGTATATTTATTTTGGTTTTACTGATATAAATATACTAATTGACTGTGATATTTTCACAAGTGTTAACTCCTCAGTTCAATGCAGCAGTACAATTAATAGACCTACTCCTATTCCTCCTACCATCTTGGTTCCAAATCCATTCTGCTGGCAGCTTTGCTTTAATTTTGCTAGGAAAAAGAAGTCCTTTGCTCATTATATTTGAATGCCATTTTCCATTTGTAACCTCTGTATGACAATTATGATGATTCCATAATTTTGTACAGAATATTATATATAACAGACATAAATTCTGTCTTTCATTAACAGAATCATAAGTCTGTAAATTAAATACCTTTCTTTGTGGCATAAAAGAAACACATAAAATATCTTCATCTTTGATTACACAATACATAAGAGCACTTATACTGCAGACCACGACAACCAAGTTCCTGGCAAAGGATGTGTTTAACACCTTATAACACCCTTCCTGTCCAAAGCACTTTGGTCAGTTTTAAGGGTCTTTGGATTCTCAGTGGAGCTGAAATGATGCTCATGGTCCAGAAAAAAAGGATGATGTCCAGATATGCAAACGACTCAGCTACGGCATCATGGCACCACACCAGCAGTGACAAGTCTGCTCCAGCATGGGATTTCTGCACTGGATTCCCTTCTGCACACCTGTGGAGCACTTAGGGCATGCCTATGTGTGGACAGCTAGGAGCTCCTCCAGCTACACATCAAACAAGCCAGAAGCAAGTGTTGTGGTCTGAAGGCACAGACTACCATTAGCATCCTACTGGTATATATATGTCTCATGGTATATGCTGCTAAACTGCCTTTGACAGGGCTCTAACAGCTTGTGCACCAGAGCTAAGCTTGGACACACACTTGGCACTTTAAAAAGCTGTACCTTGTCATGCCTTTATTTTCAGGAAATACTCCATATTTTTTAATACAACTGTGTCTTAAAACAAAAAAGCATTAGCCAAATACTCCACCAACTCAAAATTCTCTTTGTGTTTTGAAATTACCTGAGATATTCTTACTGAAAAAATTTTGCAACAGAATCCTAAGGATTTGAAATGGCACAAAAAAAAAAGACAGCTTTGGCTGGACTTTATTATGTTGGTGAGCTGCAGAAATTATTATGTTGCATTTTTAATAGAAACTCCTTCCTGGATTTGTTTCACTGCTCACCCCCAAAGCACCTCGTGAGTTGACCCATACTCCCACTTTCATGCCACCTCTTGATAGAAAAACTTCCACCTGCTGCAAAAATCTTTTCTGCTGTTTTTGTATTAGCTCTGGGCAAGCAGCAAGCTTAACAAAACCCACAGCACTGGCAAAATGAAAGTCCCCAGGGACCCAAAACCCCCAGTGTGCTGAAGAGTGCACCAAACACTGAGAGAGGGGCAGCCCCAGGGATCAGAAAAGGGCAAGGAAGCTCTCTCCCCATCACAACTGTATGGGATGTGATTTACCACAGTGTTTCTTGTTCAGTTCTATGCAAAACTTTGAATAACCTGTTCCAAAAAGTGACAACTTCTGACCTTAGCCTCTGCTTGCATCAGTTCATATTCATTTAATATTTTCAAGGTTAAGCAAAGGTTGCAGGGCAATTATTTTTTTTTAATAATGAAAAGCACATGAAAAATTCCCTTTTCATTTCTCATTTCACAAGAGAGCTTCAGCTTCAGTCTAGATACAGCTGGGACCAGACAAGGCAGAGACTCCTTTTAACACTACTCAAACTGGCTCAGGTAGCAATATACAGGACATGGAGATCACCACAGCCAGGAAATGCACGTTTATTGGAAATCAACAAAGAATGCTAATTAAAAACCTGAACGTGCCCTTGTAGACTTCTCCATACAGAGAATGGGTCTCTCATATCTCAATATCTGTTACTGCTGAGCTGGGGAACTACATTGTCTTTGTAATTGTACCTCTACAGGAGACAGGTTTACTTATCAAAACAAAAGAAGATAATGAAAGTTAAAACTGAAACTGTCCGAGACTTCTAGGGGTGGTGGAGGATCTCTTGCCCTCTGGAAGAATGAATCTGTCTTTCAGCATACCAATGCTTTCATGTTGCATTTCTGCCACAAAAGCTAAAGATTCACTCTGGTCCCTGAGCATCTGCAGGTGTGTCTGTCCATCTGTCTCCCTTCTTCTATTTCAAGCATGAGATTTGTCACAAGTGTTTTGATGTCACACACCCATTCTGGCCCTATGGAGTCGTGGCAGAGTCTGAAAAATGACAGCTGTGAGATCAGGGTTAAATACAATTTCCTCTCCCTTCACCTGTTTTCCACTATCTGTTTGCACGGTGCTCAGGTTATTAATGGAACTGACATCCCTGCACAACTGAGTGAGCAGTAGCAGCAGCCAGATAACAAGGGAGAAGCTGACAGCAGCAATCTAACCCCAGAGATAAGAGATAAGCAAACATGCCATGGCTATTAGTTTCAACTCTGGCCAATGGAGAAGAACATCTCCTGTTGTTACTGAACAGGAAAGCCCAGTCCTCCTGAGAAGGTTAAATTAAATTCAGGATGTGAGAGATTATTCTTCAAAAATTAAAGTTTGTGATGAGAAATAAATATTTGACTTAAAAAAAAAGGCAATGTTAATCTGATGGAAAGCGAAGACCTATATTTATTCAGAGAAAAATACTGAACACTTCTACTCTAGAAGGAAAGTACCCTACCTTCTCTGTATCTTTCAGGTAAAAAAATATCACTCTAAAAATTGGCATTTTCCAAACAGCTATCTCAGTGATGGTACAGGAGTGGTAGCCTAAGAATCCTGACCAAATTCCAAACTAGGTAAGTAGTGACTCTGACTTTTCTGAACTCCGATATATTTCAAC